TCCAAGAGAGGAGAGATGACCTCTGAGAGAGGGGCAATATTCCAATGAGTTTTGGATTGGTTAACTTCACTTCTAGAGAGAAAAAATCTCTATGTTATTCTCGATATTATCTTTCCAGTAGCGGTATTGCGGTAAGAAAGAAGATGTTGATCGGGGGTGTTGCTCAGTCTGGAGAGCGGGTTTAGAAGGGAAGATCGGTGAGGGTCTTTTACTGATTTTTAGAAATATATATTATCTCTTGTAACTCAAAACTATAATATTCATTGTGATAGTGGAATTCTAGTTGCTGAGGCCGTGGATGTAGCCTTACGGGGTGAATCACGTAAATCGTGTGTTGTTGTAATGTGTTTTTTATATTTGTTCTATTTCTCGCAATTGATTTATAATTATATTCATCTACTTCTCATTTAACCAATCATGTAAATAATCTTGGGTTGGATCCCAGTATTTGGGATTCTCGGTTCCGCAAGCTAGAGGTTCTTGAGATCCGTACCGTAACAACAACGCACAAAAGGTCTTTATGAAAACAAATAAAGATTCACCTCAAAACTTTTCAAGTCTATCATTTCGACCTTACTCATCATGGTTATGAAAAAACTTTAGGATTTAAAGCTCTAAAATTACTGTATATTATAACACATTACCTATACTGCTTAATTTCAAGTGTTCATGGATCTACAAGATTTGTACTATTTGTTGAGCTACAAATTTCATAAGTAGTGGTAGAAATAGATTTTAAAATCATTTTGGGATTTCCAATACACAATGCGTCTTTCAAATAAGATTTTAAGGTGAGGCTTTACTTTTTTTTCACGAGGCCTAAGCCTTATAAAAATTACATCTAAAAGGACAAAGATATGTTATAATTTAGAGAGACGAGTATGTAAAAACCTTTTTATCTACTTTTATTAGAAAATTCCTCAATAAGTTACGGATATTATCTTTATACATACCCGCTTTATCCATTTATTAATGTTTTTTCTGGACATCCCAACTTCGGACTTCGATAGTTCTCCATTTTTTAATGTTTCTTCTGGACATATCCCAACTTTGGACTTCAAAGTGGCCTTCCTTCAAAAGAAAAACTTAAGATTTTTAAAACCTCAAGTAGTTTGTTTATTGTTATTAAACAAACAAACCTCAGTTTTTGAAAATCAGACGTTTGTTGTTGTATTGTCGAACTTGTGTTTTGTATTATCTATTAACAAAAACTTCGGGATTTGAAATTCCAAAGTTGTTCCTTCATCAGAAAAAGTTTGAATTTTTTAAAATCAAACATTTTTGGTCCTCAATGGTTCCTAGTATTTTAGCCCTCGAAGGCATCTAAGGGACTTTGATAAACTACAAAGTTTCGAAATCAAATTATGGGCATTTTGTCAGTTTTAAAATACAGCGAAGAAATTGAGTATCAGTATAATAAGGTAAAAAAAAAAAAGGGACTTTTGAAACAAGGGTACTTTAGATTGATATACGTGTTAATTACTCTAATTAGATAATGAAAATGGTAGGTAGGAGGTTAAATGTTTCTTTTAATTTGAAGTGGTCCATTAACTTTATATAAATCTGAAGATTTATTTGAGACATTTATAGAGGGGTAGATACATTTTTTCCCATAAATTACAAATCACAACAAATGCGACATGCTGATTGCTAGATCTTCACTAAAGACCATGAATATTCTCCAAAAACAAAACCCTGCTAGAAATAAACCTTTCACATACTAAAAAAGATCTAGAGAAGTGGATTGAATAGATTATGGACATTAAATAAGAAGTCGAGAGACTAGGTGATTTTTTATGAAATAAGTATTTTAGGAGAAAATTTGTTTATTTTTCTCGGCTCAAAAAAAAAAAAGTATTTTAGGAGAATTTTAGCATGGGACAGAATTAAGTAATTGTGATATTTTAAAGGTGAGAATTTAAAAACTTCCTATATCTTAATATCAGTTTAGGAGAGCATATTAGTATTTTAGGAGAATTTTAGCACGGGACAGAATCAAGTAATTGTGATATTTTAAAGGTGAGAATTTAAAAACTTCCTACATCTTAATATCAGTTGAGAGAGTATATTCTTTCAATGTTATCCATCTTTCAGGTCCTAAAATAGATCTAGAGAAGTGGATTGAATAGATTGGTTACATCAAATTAGAAACTTCAGAGTTCAGAGTTGAGAGAGAGAGAGAGGGAGAAGATGCCATTTTTACCCTGAACTCCTCTTTCACAGTCATCTGCCTTACGTTATCTCCAGAAATAAGAGTGCCCTTTGTGCCCCAGCTTTAACTGTGGCCTAATATATATAGAATACAAGCAAGGCAATAGCAGCCAACATCATAGGGATGCATCTAAGAGAGAATAAAATGAAGCATGAAAATTCACATGACCAATAGTGTATCATCATCCAATGAAGCATGAAAACTATAGATGGAAAAGAGCATCCACTTCACATTCCTGATAAAAATTCACATGAAAAATGGTGTACCATCATCCAATGGAGCATGAAAAACATATATGAAAGAAGCATCCACTTTCCATTCCCGATGCCAGAGAGTGGAGGCTAGTCATAGCAGGACACCTCCGGGCATTCAACGAGGTACATCCTCATCTCTATCATTTATCTTCTTCTTCTCCCCTCCCACCTTTTTCTTTTCTTCCCCTTTTTCTTAATGAGTAGAAAACCGACACTATCCCAGTCTGATACAAACTCGGTTCATTCCAGTCATCTATCACCATAAATTGGTGTGCTCCGCTTTTGAGCATCAGATAGTACCCTCGAATAAACTAAGGGATTGCAACCCAGCAATCATGGTATATCTACCTTCTCGGACTACACACTATGTGGGACATTCGCATGAGCGTGATCATGTAGAGTTAGACATCTGAGCTCAACCCTCCTATTACTATTTCTTGATGGGAGTAAAGTACCGAGCAATTCCCGATCCTGTACCAGCCTTTTTAGCACGCTTTTGTGGCTGAAGATTGCGTCGAACTTCTTCTTGGATTTCCAAGGGCAGCTCTTTGAGCACAGATGAATCTATCTCATCATACTTGTATACCCAACCACCACTGGATGAAGGCTGGTGCAAACCACCCGTGTCTTTGTCTCCTAAATGGATAGTCTCCTCATTTGATGAACTTGGTTGTCCCAGTTCTTGATCCATATCCAACGTGTGATCCATATCCAACGTGGCGGCCTCACATCCTGTATAATGACTGTTTAGATTAAAACATGGAGTTCAGGAACATGATCGATTTCCTAAATCTGCAGCTCGCAAGCATGGTGCTATCTTAAGAAAGCCCAATCTTTCTCACTCAAAAAAAAAAAAAAGCATCGAAGAGGGAAAGTACACGGAAAGTACACCCATACGACAATGTTATATGGCATAACATACACCATGGGGAAATCTACTATTTTTGCCCCATGAATGGTGGATAATAACTGTAGTTTTTGGTAACAAGACGTTCATCTGGGTATGATTAATCTTCACCACATGTCATCAGGACAGGCCGTGGATGTCCCATTGGTGTATGATAATACCCTGTACCACTCTTGTATAGTAAAATTTTCCCAAAGAAAAAGATCCATCTCTTGTTTAAATTTTTGGCAGGCAAGCAGGGTAAGACAAAAAGGCACAAGAGGTCAGCCCTCTTAGAATTTCAGAGACACTTAGGAGAGCTCTCAGAATATAGGGCACCAGGTCTGTTAATATGCCCCAACGTCACGTTTTCTTTTCTTTTTTTTACTTGTTTTTTTTTTGACATTTATACTCAACTTAGATGGGAAAGCACACTAAAGTCTGATGGACTTCGGAAAAAATAAAGTTCAATATTCATCAAAATCTAAGGGACTAATGAATAGCAATGGAGAGTGGGACCAAGCAGAAAATAACCCTAATGGATTATGTTTTTCCATGATCCAATGGAGACTATAACTATTCTAAAATTACAGAAAAAGTATACCTGAAGGAGTTGAGAATGAAATACTTTCTTGGATATTCCTGTCACACTCCAGACTTGATGAAGAAGGTGGATTGGAGGTAGAAAAGAACTTCGTTATTGAGGTTACACCCTGTCATGGTAGCCTCTCGTCACATCACACGCTATTGACATGAGAACCAACCATCCATTCCATCCAAAATGCACTAAAATTTATCAAGTACAAACATTAAAGAGTAGAAATATTGCACCCTTTCAAAGTTTTAGGTAAGGGTTGGGTTTAGGTGAGTCCACCCACGCAAAATCCATCCTACAGATGGATTTTGAATCCAAAAAAATACAGCTCTATCAACCAGACCACCACTATCATAAATCTAAGAACAAATAAATAAATGAGCCATAAAAATGTCTACTCTGTTTTTTTTTGTTTTTTTGGATTCATGTCAATTCTTCAAAAATCATCAAATCTTTACTGTTTTTGGAGCTCCAAATTCATGGATCTGAAGCAGAAATGGATTTACAGTGATTGTGATGTATTTCAGGCCGTAAATCCCTTGAAAACCATGGGGAATTCGAGTCGGCTGACTAAATAAATACTTTTCCGTCAGTCAAGTAGTAATCTTTTATTTTGAATGTTTACAGCAGAAATAGACTAGGAAACATATAACCGAAACCAAACTTTATTATCCTCCCATCTTTATTTTCGTATATATCATGCTCTTGTCGGTTTTCCAGTATATCTATAATAATTAAAATATATTCTTCGACATGAAACCTTTTGTACTCTAGGATCCGAAAGTAGCATCGAGAATCCAATATCGTTTTCCAAATATGGAAGGACCACCATTACTCATAAAACAACCGAACAAGTAGATAGATAAGCATGCAACTAGACTATTGGATATGGTCCCCCAAACTATATCCGCTGTCCATTCCCACCTGATGGATGGTTAGAATAGACAATACCCACGTGAAACGTTCTTGCCGGTGCCACCTATCTAATCACCAACATCTATCAATGGTCATAGACAGTGGTTGTAGCCTTGGAGTACCATGGTCCATTGGACTATGGAATACTTTCCCTGTGAAGTATGAACAGCCATGGCCCAATTGGTTCATACTTACTTGTGGTGTGGCCAGTATATTAGTTGCAGCCACAGAGAGACCTATTATTCTCCAATTGTTCCCTCCGGCAACAGCTTGCTTGTCGGTTCCATAAATGCCCATATATTCACGTAATGCAGACTCGAAAAGTTTACGAGCATCTTCATGCAATTTCGCTGACCCATACCTTAAGGGGCAGGACTTGGAAGGAAATTTCTTCTGAGATTCTGAATCATCGACCTGGGATTACCAAAGGGTAGACCCCCGAGTATTAAAGAAGCTGAACTCAGAACATTTCAAAAAGGTTAGTATATTATAGTCCACTTGATTATGGAATCACAACCCATTGTGGTAATGACCATCCAATGAAGCAATGGAGAGTGATGGAGAAAGATTAGTATCCCACAGGACAGGATATGACCAGAATAGTGGGTCCCACTCTCTTTCCAACCTTGTCCAATGCTCAACATGGTAATGGATGATGATGACCCAAATGAAGAAATAATTTTCCATATGCCACCATATGCCTATAGCATACTTTTTCTCTCAAATATTTGAAAAGCATAAAACAAACCCATCTTAGAGAACCAAATAGATCATGAATAATTTAGATTTACTAAGAACCTTGTAGGCTCTAGCATGAAGAGTCAGTGTTTGGGCAACCCGCTTATTTTGCTTTAGGTCAGACTCAACACGATCACTCAATTCTTCACATAGCGCACCAAGCCAGTGTTCAACCTACATAAGGTGATCAGTCATTAAAGAAAATATCTCAACATATATTAGTATCTAAAATATGATTACAAAAACCCACAAGTTGTGGGTCTAGGCAGCCTACATACCGAGTGCTCAGACCTGTACAATCAAAAAACCATATAAAGGAAAGCGTTATTTGACCAATTGAATTAATAGCAAATACCCAACCAAAAATGTAACCTAATAGAATTGATATGAATAGTAGGGGCTGGAAATGGGTTGGATTAACCAGTTGCCCCTGGTCCGGGACTAGACATGGGCAATGGGGCCGACAGGTCAGGTTTGGGTTTGCTTAATTTGGACCTGACATGTGTGAGGTCCAGATCCTGTCCAGCTTCAACCATATCAGGTTGGGTCTGAGTTTGGGTCAACCAGACCCAGTATATCATAACATTTTAATAGTTTTTTTGGTCTCAACCTGGTCTTGGACCCGATTAACCCCAGTCTGACTCCCACTTGAACCCTGTTGGATCAGGTTGGGTTGGGGTCGACTAGGACCCAACTGGACCTATTACATCCCTACAAATAGATTTGTTGCTAATTACAAAGATCTTCATAGAAGTACTTAAACACAAGGAGGGCCTGCTGGTTTTCAAAAGGAAAAGTGAATAAGTGAAAATTCTTACAGATTCAATTGTTCTCAAGGCCCGAGGGCCAGGAAATGTTTTCCCACAGCCTTGACTTTTAGGAAGAATGCGACCTTTAACTTCTTCCCCGCTCATTCCTCTTGCAACATTCCACAGCCATGTACTGGCATGACAATTGAATGAATGAGAAAACGACGTGGTACATAAAATTCCTTTTCAGTCAGCTGTAGCTCCTAATATTCCATATACGCATTAAAATAGACAGCTCCTAATGCAATGGCTCTTCTCAAAGAAATACATAGCAAACTAGATGAATCACAAGCCCCTGGAATCAAATATACTAAAAATGAAAGATTTCTAACTGCAAACTAACAAAAAAACAGTTTCCTTGGTCGCAAGCCCAACAAGTATGATGATAAGCACATAGGAATGGAAAAAAGCCCTATGGTTTTGGTCTGACATAGACAGCCTTAAGTGTGAATCCGTATGGCATAAATCGAATGCACTCAAATAACTGTTTAAAGATTATTTCAACGGAATAACATAGGTCGGAAAGGATGCTAGTTGAAGCAATCATAACATGATTTTTCCTTCAAACTTAAAAATCAGTGAACTAAAATGATCTCCTACTTCAAGCTACTATTGACAACAATGGTCATGGAATCATTATCACAAGAACTGCGAGAGGAAATCACTTCCACAAAGATTAAATATGAAACAGTAGTGAGAAGTATCAAAAAACAAACCTAGAACACAGGAATGATACAATTCCATAATCATCAGACAGTTCACTCCGGAACATTTCTTCTCATAGAATACAATATGATTTTACAGTTTTCAACATCGATGAAACAAAGCACAAATAAGCTGAAATCTAGTAAAATAATTTATAAGAGAAGGATAAGATGGGGGGGGGGGGGGGGCAGGGGGCGCGTTGAAGCTTTCCCAAAGAATTATAGCTGGAAAATCCATTATAAAAGTTTGGGTTTCCTCAATGGGAGTGGATTCCAGACATACAGAAATTTATTTTTTTCAGGCTTATCAAAAACTAAATAGAGTCTTGATTAATTTGCAATTTCAAGACACTACCACTAGTTTTTTACCTAGTCATATGGGGTGGCAGATAAAAAGCAAAAAATCAATGCTGAGACTTGTTAGAATCTCAAAAAAAAAAAACCCAACCATGACTGATTCGGAGTTTCTTCCCATGAGGGTCTAGCTCCAAAACCATGTTTGACAATCAAATAGAGGGATCAAATGGGAACTGCTTTTCATGACTCTCTCCCACACACATGCATCTGTTAGTTTTTCCATTCCCTTGCAAGAAAATTTTGGCAGAGTCTCCCATCGTCTGAAGTCAATTTCCGCTAATATTTTCAGAATAATCTTCAATCCAGTTGAAGTCCAAGGGTCTAGGTTTGGATACAAGAGTAACAGGGAAAGAGATACAAAATTAAATTCAACAAAAATATATAAATCATGCAAGTGACCAGGAGACACGAGATGATCTTGCTTTATTGAAGTGTTGAACACCCCCCACTTGTAGAAGTTACCGAGATACAATTGGTCCCAGCAAGCACACTCCCAAGATACAACCAGCCCAACCTAAAGGAGCTGAGTAACAATTTTGAAGTTCTTCTAACATCACAGCTATTGCCTGACTTTTGCAGTCAAATGAGTGTATATTTTGATAAACTTCAATCTTACACAAATTTTGTCGAGAACAGTTGCTGTTAGAAGTTTCCAACATTGAAATTGCGGAGACACAAGAGATTAAGATCAGGAGAAAGAAAATAAAGTCTGATAAAAAAGATTCAAAGGGAGGTCAACCAAAGTATATATACATGTATAAAATAAATTATTTTGAAAGAAGGTGAAGAAGCCAAGGCGCTTGTGGCGTATGTATCAGGTTGTGTTTGCACAAATTTTAGGACCACAAAAATTTATGGTCCTCATGGACCATGTATTTAAAAAATAAAAAACTTTGTGTGCAGTCTCCATGAGCAATCCACGAGCAAACTCAAGTTCGCCGTGTACATCCTCATTTGTCACTTGCGAGCGAACAATCTTAGGGCACTTGTGGCCTTCCCATGTTGTGAAGCAGATGCCACGTGTCCCATCTTGATCAGTATAAAAGTTTTTTAAACATGTGATTTTAGGCGGGATGGTGGTTATCACGTGGGGGTTAGCCACCCACACATGGCCATTCATGGCTTCCTATTTCTTTGGAGGATGCCAAGTACACCTTTTTGTTTTGAATAAAATAATTTATTTATATATGTATATACACCGTTGCCCTCCCTTTGAATCTCTTCTAAGAATCTGGCTTTATTTTCTCTCTCTCTCTCTGATTTTAATTTCTTGTACCTACACAGTTTCAATGTCAGAAACTTCAAAACGCAACGGTTTAGCCAAAATTAGTGTGAATCGAACTCGATCAAAATCTCTACCAATTTAACTGCAAAAATCAGGGGCATCATGTACGTGCACACATGATATCCCTATGCATTCCTAATTATAAGGTTTGCAAAAGCAGCCCCTTGACACCCAATTGGGATAAATAAAGACCAAATAAAGTATAACCCCAGATTCAATTATAATATTATATGAAGTCACATGGAGGTAAAGATGACTAGAACATCCTCTGTAGAATGTATGTGCAAAAGTAAACCTTAAATACTTGACTAATGCTCGTCAAACATGTGAAGAACATTAGCTACCTCCTATACGTCAGAAGGTAAAAGCCATAGGCATCCATAAGCCAGAAATTAAGTGGAAAGAAAGATAACGGGAAATTATACAAACTTGTTCCCAATCTATGAAAATTCATTCAACATTCTAACAGATTTCGATCACAATTTTGTTCAAAAAGTAGAATCCCCACTGCACATTACATTACCCTAGTATAAAACTGCTCAGTGAGTGTACAAGATATTGATAAGGTTAGGCTGATTAAACAGTATGATGAAGGAAATCAGAGGATGTAATCATCCAAGCAGAAAAAATTTAGTCAATGGGTTGTCATACTGACCACAACCCATAGCATTTTCTCTTTTTCTGGGATCTCTTTTGAAATATGAAACAGCCAACTTTTAAGTCTTTTAACTTACAACCACAAGTATCAGATGGAATTTCTTATAACTCAAATTCTGAAGTCGTAACAAACCCTGTATTTACTCCATAATGGTTTTGCAGCTTCTCTTCAGAAAACTGCAACAAATCACCAACATTATGCACACCGAGATCACTTTCTAAGGATGCCCCAAGTTTGCCCCCAAGTTGCTTCCTGAAAGACATAAACTCACATAAAGTTTTCACCATTGATCAGACATTTGTTTGTATAAAACCAATCCACAAAAGAAAAGTCAGATAGGGCTTCATAAGGAGGTCTCTGTCCGACTCACTGACATTTTCTTCACAGGCAGGGAAGCTAACAATTCATTTATGGAAGCAGAGGGTACAACAGTCTGCTGAGCAGGTTTATGCATGCCACTTGCAAGTTTTGCCAGCATCTGCATAATTTAGGAACAAATTGGTGAGTCATGCAAAAAAACCTATCATTGAAAAGCTCCAAAAGAAGCAAACTTGATCTGAATACAAAAGAAGTTGTATTGCTATATGAAAAGAGATAGAACTAGAAGCCTAAAATTATGATCAAGTTTAATTCCATAACCCTCCATAATAGATATTTTGCAGATAAAATCAGGCCCATGCCAGTTAATAAATTACTCACCAAAAGAGTTCAGACTCCTCAAAGTAGAGCATAAATAATGAAGGAAAGCACAAAAATGCACTCACGCAATCTGTACAATTCGTATTTCCAATGAACTATGGAAACCACAGTACGTTACTTCATTAGGTCATCATTGGAAAGTTAATCAACCTAATGGGTTATTCTTTCACATAGTTCATTCAATTATACTAAGCTTCACCATAATGAAAAAGCACCTTATTGTGAGCAATGCCTGCAGAGCATGTAAATTCAGTCACCGTTAAGACTTCCTTTCGAAGCTTGGCTACAATGATGGCCCCACAAGCAAGTAATTTATCATGGTTATCAGCATCATTCCTGCAGAGCCACTCTTTCACCATTTGTTTCTGATCTCGATCATCCTGGAGCAAAGAAAAAAATACTCAATTTCAACCGCATTCATCACAAATAAGAAAGACCCATTTATCTATCAACGAGTGCAAGAAGGACGATCTCTGAGAGAAAAGCAATCTATTATTACAATCACATAATAGTGTCACCAAAAAGCTCAAGGAGAAGTATACTTGATTGAATGGTACATCCCACAAACTCCATCAGACAATTCTAACCATTAAATTGAAAAGACTCAAATAACCAATGGAAGATTCATGGAAACAAGAACTAAGACAAAGAAATAACCTATATATAAATGAAATGACAGTTTCATGCCTTGTTAACGCCTAAAATATGAGATTTGAGGACCTCCTCATCAACTGATTCTAGAACCTCCGGAGGATTTTCCAATAGCATAGATGTTGCTACATCTGTAATGTCCAGATAAACTTCATCTATGGATGCCCGTTCACAGCGCCCCTTCCTTGCAAGAACAGCCACCACCTGTAAAATTGAAATGAGGCTTAAAGTACAAATGATGATTTAAGAACAAAACTAAGTCGGGGAAAGTATACTGATCCAATGGCATGCAGAAAACCATAGTCCACAAAGGGCCATCACCATCCCATAAAATGATGTACACTGATGGAGAGATTAGACCGCCCTTAATAGAGCAGAATGGCATACTAGGATTTGTGTAGCCTACTGCAATTTGTTGGGAACAATTTTGAAGATGATGATGATGATGGAGAGATTAGGGTCCATGACATATCTTCCACTCTCTCTCTCCATCTGCATCCATTACTTGGAGGGTAATGACCCCAATGCACTTAATTCTTGAAACCACAGGACTCTGATTTCTGATGGGGCATATCAAATGAAGTCCACAAACCTCAGAACCAGCATCACGGTATAAAGTTAGATCAGACTTATCCCTGGCAACTGGAACTTGAATCAGCTGAATATCAGGACATACTTTCTTGGCCTCATCTCCTCTCATTGAACTAAAAAGCAATAATTACATCAGATCCAATGCACAAAAACAATATTAAAAATAAAAATAAAAACTCCTTTTTCTTTTCTTCCATAAATAGGCACTATAGGGGTGTTTTACTGACCGCTTCACACCAAAGGCACGCGCTTCATAGCCAACAGCGATTAGGGCCCCACCTTTCCACGAGTTATACTGAATGACAGCAGCAGGCTTACCCCTTAATTCTGGTTGTTTTCTTTGTTCCACTGCAAGGACCAAGGTGCTTAAAAAAATAGCTAGCTACAAAATGAATTAATTAATAAACTGATGTACACAAATTATACAAAAATTAGCTCTAAATCTCAACATGATAAAAAAAAGTAGGGCTTCATAGACAACAGCAATTAAACTCCTGCATTTCTACGAGTTACACTGCACACAGCAGCAGGTTCAGCCCTTAATTCTGACTGTTTAATTTGTTCCGCTGCAAGGACCAGGGTGCTTAAAAAATGCAAGCTCAACAATAAATTACTTATTACAAACTAATGCATACAAAAGACCCTAAAATCTAAACTTGATCAAAAACTAGAATCATAAGAATAAAGAGAAACAGGCAGCATGCATTTCCTCAATTCTATAACGAGAATAAATGGCTCTTTTATAAAACTATTGCAGTAAAAATTCACTCCAAAGGCCTCAACAAAGGCCAATTCTAACAACAACAATTCAACCAAATTAGCACCTGTTATGCATACTCACTTCTGTCATAGCAATTGCAACTAAATTTCCTCATTTGAAAGCTTGGGGGTAATTACCTCCAATTTTGTAGTTCCTGAGACTGCTGTAATAGCTTAGCCATTTGAAAACACTACTTGTGGAGCCTATTTGTAAAATAGATTACAAAAATCAGATCACAATTTTACATTAACATGGTTTACATACTTAACCCAATTTAGTTTTCTGTCAATTTAGTCTTTTGTTTTAAGAAGCTTCGTAAATTTCTTGACTTAAAGGAAAAACGTCTCCTTTAGGAGAGAAAGTCCCAGTACGACTACACTAAATCCAACTTCTAATTGCTTGTGTTCTTCATATACATGAATGTGATGTGTTATGTGTTGGCCCACTATTTTACGGCAAATTCCATATGGCATTTTAAGTACACCTTATTTTTTTCCAATTCAACCACAGTTGAAGTAAACCATTTTGCTCAAGGATACAGAAATTCTTTTGTGCAGTAAAACCTTTAATCCAAAACTGCCATAATGGATGGCAGCAATAGACAAAGCCCTCATAGTCTGAGGGATTGATGGAGAGGAAAGAAGGAGACATCCATGGATGATGGACCGATGTCTAACCAATCTATAATGGATTTGATAATTGTTATTCGTGACTTATTACTGTGATAATTGTCATTCATGACTTATTACTGTTTCCTTATAGTTTTAGACAGTGTTGAAGCCCACTTTGCCAAGTAATTTGGCCTCGGCTTATGGCCAAGGTGAGTTCTAGGGGCCAAATCGCCCCCGTTAAAAATTTGTTAAAATGTTCATGATTGATTTAGAGATATATTTTAATATGACTTATATGGTTTTTATGATGATTTCGGAACTTTTATTATGGCATGTTCCAAACTTTCACTTATTTATTTCTTATTTTACATTTATTTTGAATTTTTATGCTTTTTTTTGTCCTGTAAAGGACTTGACAGAGTTCGAGGCCTTAGCCAAGTTTGAAAACATTGGTTTTAATTCAATTGTTTTTCAATTTTCATAAGTAGGAATGCATAGGTTTTAGAATAGATGCTGTTTATCAAACTCTAGAAAACTAGAGCAATTAAAATATGTAAGTGTTCTCCCCAAACAATACAAAACATATATGGCATTAGATTTCTGATTTTTCATCATTGTTCTTTTTTTACTTATCAAAACACTTTTTTCTTTTTCTCAAATTCAGTTCAAGTTTCTGGGTTCTCTATCTTTTCCTAATCCTTTCTGTCACATAGGATTATTTTCAATTGAAAAAATTCATTACGAACAAGTCATAGTGGGTATAATCTTTCCCAAATCTACTGTAAATTGAATCAATGGCATCAATCTGGAACAAGTTTGCAAATTAATAAGCAACCAGTCCCATTTCATTCGTAGAAACAAGCAACTAGTCCAAATTCCATTCATAGAAACAACTATCCCATGTTAAAGAAAAACCCAAAAACCTTGCAATTAAAGCAGGGGATAAATCGAGAGACCTTGGACGTAGAAGCAATCCATGTCGATGTGAGCAATGACACGAGCATCTTGAGGCTCTGGATGAGCAACTGGCATCTCTGCTTCTCCCAACTCCTCTCTCTCTCTACTTTATCAGGGATTTCAAACTCTCTCTCTACTTTATCAGGGATTTTTCTCTCTCTCTCTCTCTACTTTATCATGGATTTCAACCGATCACGCCTGTCCCGCGCTTGAACCTTGGCCCCGTTTAATAAAAGGGCGACAGAGAGGGAAACTGTATAATGCACAGGCAGTGTGTGGTACATATGGTGCAGCACGGTTCATCACCGTCTATTCCTAATAGCATGCCGTGGATAACAGCAGCCTAGTGAATGTGCACATTAGATTACGCTCAATTTCTACCGCTCGTCATGGACAACGGATGATCCTATGATTCAATCTGCTCTTTGTAGTATTTTTTTTTTTCTAGGGTACAAGTGAGTTTGTATAAGGTGTCAACCTTATAATGGGCGCCTACAAAAATCAACTCGAAAATGTTGTTTTGATGGTAGAAGACCTTATAATTAATCATCTTGACCTATATATATATATATATATATATATATATATGAACGAAAAAGAATTTTAAATCTTAAAAATAATTCATTTTGTAACTCATTATTTAGACCGCCTATTCTTAAAAATTAATCATTTATAGATCTGCTTGAACTTGGGTCGATAACCCAATAAAATGGAGAGATTGAAGTAAATGTGGGCGAAATGGAATTATACAACTAGAACTTTATATAATTGCTGCATACCAATGAAGTTGAATGGCAAATTCTATAAAACAGTTATGACACCAACTTTACTCTATGAGACAAAATGTTGGGTTAACAAAAGACAATATACTCAGAGAATGAGCATAGCGGAGATGAGGATGTTGAGATCGATGAGTGGCAATTTAAAATGAATTCATTTAAAAAAATTTAAGTGTGGCGCCATAATAGACAATAAGATGAGAGACAATGGACTTAGGTGGGTTGGCTATGTATGGCGCAAACTTAGTACAACACTTGTTAAGAGGTGCAAGTTAGTTCAAGTGAAAAGCTAAAAAAGAGCGAGGGGATATGCCTAAAAAGACATGGCTAGAAGTAGTGAGAAAAGATATAAAGGCTGATGACCTCATTGAAGGTATGATTTTTAATAAAACATAAAGACATACCTTTAATAGAACATAATGACATACCAAGATTCATGTAACCGACCTATGAAAAAAAACTATGATAATAATGATGAGTTCTACTTGATGTATATCGTTTTTTATGCTTTAAATTACATAATTAGATGTAAAATAGAATTTCATATTATCAACTGCATCTTTAGCACGAGTTAGAAGTGAAATTTAGACAGCAATCCAAAGTCATTATTATTACTACACACAATCCAAAGTGAGGAAGCTACGCACATCGGTGTGCATAGTATAGGCGCATCTACACCGTCTGATATGGCAGCAGTTGGTGGAGATTTTCTTGAGGGACAGCACGGTAATTAAGAGGAACAGTTCGATTGAAGCAGTTTGAGCCTCCAATTTACCAGGTCGGGAAATATATGCTATGATCCATATGACCATAAAAAATCTATGATAATGTGTCATCATCTCCACTCAATATAGGGAGAGTGTGACCAAATTGGTAGGTACACTCTCTAGAGGTCCATCTAGTAATTGAACGGTGATGAAACTTGTAATGGCATTAATGTGCGGATGAAGTTTATATAAGGCCAAGGTTTTATTAAACCAAAATAAAGCCTCACCTCAAGTCCTCTTTTGGAAACCACTATCGGCAATGGAAATATCCATGATGGCTCTAAAATCAAATTTCAAATCAGACAATGAAATTTGAAACTCAAAAAATGATATTGATATTGTGAATCTATAAACACTTATTTTTAAGGTGAAATGGATGACCTACATAATTTGTTACAACATACACAATTTTATAGGTTAAATCTATTTTTTTTTACAACTATAATGTTCAAGCCAAGATGATCGATGTAAAAATTTTTCAGTGCTTAAATTGTAATTTTCGATGAGTCATGAGATGAGAATTTTCGATGAGTCATGAGATGAGGTTTACTTATTTCGATAGGGTTGCAGCCCTATCAAACCATTATCCTTTATGTATAGGTCATGAGCTCATGCATTGTTAACCCTCCCTGTATTCGAAGTTTTAGGAAAAGCTATCATATATTAACATAGATTCATTATTCATGGAAAGTTTTGATAAAATTTTACATTGACTGCTTACTTAATACAACCCACATCCTTTATTTGGGTATGAGACAAGTTAAAGGGAAAGTTTTAAAGTCCTCACCTTTCTTAGATTATGAGTGTACTATAATAGATGAGCAATTTAATATTCTACTTATTAACAACTATTCCAACTCAAAATAATGTACCATTTAGGAAAATTGTTTAGTGCGGTCCAGAAAATGTAAAACACTCCTCTTAAAGATGGATACAAGTAGGTTTTCCATCTAAAAACAATCGAGAACAATCCAAATGTTTTTTTGCTAAAACTATTATTTCTAGTTTTAAGATTTATTTATTTTTTCATATTCATGATCTCCATGTTTGATTACATGTCCTTAAAAATTAATTCTTAAAATTCATCTCAAATATAGATTTATTAGGAGGCCCGCTTTTCTACATAGGCGGGCTTGGCCGCATACAAACAGGCTCGAACTCTGTATGGCTATCTTGAAATTAAACTAGAAGGTATGAATAAAGTTTTAAATTGTTCATCTCCGATGAAAAATGGATACATTTGTGTAAGTTTTAACATTGACATGGATAGAATTTAGGAATGGGCCCTCGCTCTCTCTCTCTCCCCGAGAACTCAACCATAATCTCTTTCTCTCTAAAGATGCACCATCTTACAGCGTAAGGAGATTGCTCATTAAATCAGGCGGAAATCAAATGTATTTTTTTGATGGACCAAATCAACCTGAAATTTCATTGGCCTGAACGAAATTCAAAACAATTCATAGAATAAAACCCCAATTTAAATAAACACCTATAAACCCTAAAAACTCTAAACCAAAAACCTCGTTCATAGAGGAAAAATACATAAACGAACTAAAAATCAGAAGGCCAAAAAAAAAAAAACGCTAAAAATGGGAATCTATCAAGAACCAGAGTTATTTGGCAAGTGCAGACGCAGAGAAGATCCATACTGTTTCTTGAAACACTTGGAAGCAGCCCTCAAAGCCCTAGACCACCCCTTTGTGACTCGATTAACAGGAGCTGGAGAGCTCAGACTTGCCTTCTTCTTCCTCTTCTCTTTCTTCACTTTCCTAAACTTTTCCATAAGATTCTGAGCAGATCCTTCTGGGGCCAAAAGCCTTTTGGTTTTACCGAGATTAGGTTTTTCGGACAAGAGCAGAGAAATATCAGGTGGAAGCAGAGGATTCTCAGAAAAAGGGCCTCCGCTGAAAGGATGAGGAGGGAGGGGAGACCAAATGCCACTCTGCTGGTAATCGAAATCGTAAGCAGAGGCGTCCGGAAATTTGGAGAGGAGTTTCATGGAGGTCGCCTGGTCCAAGTAATGGATGGTTATGGTCCTTTCAATGATCATCTTCTCTAATTCACAGAGGAAACCAGAAATGGCGTTCAATATAGAGAGAGAGAGAGAGTGGAAAGCCGCAGTGGCGTTCGATTTTGGCTTTCTAGAGAGAGAAAGAGAGTGGACAGCAGAAGTGGAGTTCAATGTTCGACTTCTAGAGAGAGAGTCGTTGAACATTAAGAGAGAGAGTAGAGAGATATGGGCCTGGGAAAGTGACCGTTGGGAATGTGGCGACACATTTAAATTGGACAATAGTTGCAGTATCTTGGGGATTCGTGCGGGGATGCGTGAATCTTTTAAGAAGCATCGGCCGATGAAGAATTGGTCGAGGGTGTTAGTGTTCCTGCAGGGGTCAACTGTATAATTGGTCGTTCGGGTAAAACACCATGAAACAAGGTAAAGCCTCCTCTTGAATCTAAAAATCTGCATGATGGTTCCAACACCAAATTCATAGTTTGAAGTTAAAAAAATAATACAAATCTTATGTATTTGTGAACACTCATTTTAGAGCACAATGTTATATTGGGATTTGAAAACCTAGCTTTTTTTTTCACAACTATTATGTTTAAGGCCGAGATGATTGATTTGAAGGTTTTTCTTTTATGCTAGAACAATAACTTTTAGTGATTCTTGTGTTACTTAGTTTGATAGGGCTGCAGCCCTATCAAAACATTTTCCATTTTTAAAACATACAATCTATAACTCCCATAATGCTAGATCAAATCATATATCCAAAGTCCATATGGGAGGGCACATGGTAGGAGCACTTTTTGTGTTTCAAGTGAGTTATTTCTAGTATTTCTAGGGATGGGGTTGAGGTCGTGGTAGCCTCACCTACCGGTCTACGTCTCTATTCCCATTGAGGCATTCGAAAACCGCCAATTATATTAAAAAAAAAGAAATTCAAATCATGCAAATAGTATAATGCATTATCATTCTCTGGACTGTCTATTTTCAAATTGTTTATAGATCTGCATGATCTACACCATTTTTTTTAGCTTTAAATTTTATGATTAGGGACGAGGATAGATTTTCAAGCCATCGTAAGATTTTTCGGTACCAAAATAGAATCTTTCGACATAGTTTTGAGGTTCACCTTACATTAATTGTTTAAGGTTAGGTTTGTAAAAACATCATTCTTTGAATAAACCTTGTTACTATTTTCATTGTAAAAGAACACGGCCTAAAGTGTCCGGTACTTCAGCCAAAATAGACAGTAGAACCCCATGCAACCTTTGTGAGTATCTTATCTAAAATTTTTATATATAGTTAATATAAAAAAAAATTATATAGTAAGTTGAGTTCTCATAAATTGATACACTTCGTTGACTGTAGAGAAAATATTTACCTAGGAAATTATTCAAAGTACCCTAGTCCTGCATTCCAAACAGATGCCATGTAGGTCAAAGGAAGAGTTTTCTTTAAGAATAGTATCATCTACATAGATTAGTAGAATGAGGACAATTCCTTGATAACATCGCAAAAACATGGAGTTGTCCGTTCGAATGCACACAAAAACATGTTATAAAAGGAAGGACCTAAGCCAATGAAACCAAAGCCTGTGGAGCCTGATTGAGGCCATAGATAGTCTTTCGTAGCTTGCACAAAAGGGTTTGTGGGAGGTATCCTAAAACCTAGTGGTTGCTGCATATAAACCTCACTACATAGAATTCCATAGAGCAAAACCTTTTTAAAGTCAAGTTGATGCATTACCCATGAGAAGTGAACTATACGAGTGACAGCAATGGGGATATTTACAGGGTTAACAACAGGGCTAAAAATTTCATCAAAGGCAATATCGTGTTCTAATTGAAGCCCCGAGCAACTAAACGAGATTTGAACTGCTGAACTAGACCATCAAACCGTTCTCTAACCTTATACAGCCACTTACAAATGGTGACATTCATGGATGGTTGGTTAGGGGCCAATGTTCAGGTGCCATTCTTCAATAAAGCATCCTATTTATCTATCACTTTTGCACCTTGATTGGAATCTTTAACAACCTACGAGAAAAATGTGGGCTCAGAGATCCAACTTGGAGAAGCAAGTGCAGAAAAACAAAGAGGAATTAGATGATAAAACGTAAAATAAAACTTTGGTTTGCATGTGACACTAATCATGGGATGGACATTGGAAGCAGATAAGGATCTAGATGAAGTAGAAGGAACCAATTGTGGTGGTGTATCCAAAGGCGAGGGCGGTATGGATTAGGTGAAGGGTTTGGATCTAATGATGGTGAAATAGGATTATCTGGAAGAAAAGGTGATAGGCGAGGACAATACAACGTATTAAGCTAGAGTTGGGATACGTATAACAATCCGCTTATCATGTGGCTCATCAGTAGGAGAAGTAGTCGAGAGATCAGCTCAAGGTAGGGACGACATTGTTCATCAAACACTGCATCGTGACAAATATATATCTGACTATATTAAACATCCAAACATCAATAACATTTATGCATATTTTCGTATCCCAGAAAACTGTATTTCACACTTCGAAGTTGCAACTGATGATTGTTATAAGGCACTAAGCAAGCCAAACGCACAAAGTCTATCGTAATCAAGTGTCTCATGAAATAATATTCCATATGGAGATCACATGCAAAGAATGGGTTTTGGCAGCTTGTTTATGATATATGCAGCAGTGCATACACAATCAATCCAAATTTTTTGAGGAAGTAAACATAGAGAAAGATGTCCTAGCTTATCTAAATAAGGTAACAATTATTTCTCTCTGCCAGACCATTTTGTTGAGGGGCATGCCGATATGGGGGATGCTTAATGATACCAGTTTTCTTAAGAAATGTAGAAAAGCAATGAATTGTAAACTTCCCCCCTTGTCTGATTGAAAGTACTTAATTTTGGCCTTGAAAACATTTTCGACAAACTTCTTGAAATAACTAAAACAATCAAATTTCCATTTTTATGTTTTATGAGACAAAACCAAGTGAATCTACTATAGTCATCAATGAAAACCACATAAAAAATTAGAATTAGATAATACTGGATAATTCCATACATTTGATCATCATAACAAATCTGTCATCTTTACTACCCAAGCCTTCCATCATGGCCCGAACCAAATTGGTTTCAGGGTAGGTTGTTGGATTGCCGCAAAAGTCAATAATAGTTTTGATTTGGGAAAAATGTGTCAGTGGAATTTGACCCTAGCTTGATGCTATGCAATTAAAGTTTAAGATGGAAAGCCTTGCTGCAGCTTGCTGGGTAGAAAACCATTCAAGAGCAAGCCACAAGACGAGATAAGAGAAGCCAAGGAGAAGTTGTCAATTGTAAAGTGTGAAAGACTGATGTTGCTGGTTGTTAGGTTTAATGAGAGAATTGGAGCCAAGAGCAGGAGGATATATAGAGAAGGAAAAGTACAGATTATGGAATGCGAGCAAAAGGAAAAGCCAAGTTGACAGGGAATGGGAGATAGTGAAAGGGAAATAATGCGAGAGAAAGGGCAGATCTATGTATGTGCAAATTACAAAAGGATCTTAATTTCTTCCATAAAAGGAAAATATAACCCTTCATGTCAATCTACAAATTCTTTCTCCTCCATGGTATACTTTTTTATGTTAAAGAAGTTTTTCTATATATTCATGGGTAAGGGCGATTTCTCTCCCCTACTTACTAAAAAAGCAATGCCGAACATTCATCAAAAACCTAGAAACGCCCTTATTCATCAATAACAGTCATTAATAATAAACACAAGAAAACCAAATTGGGTCTTGGCAAAATTTTACATTGCCTACATACCTAATACAACCCAACTCCTTTACCTTGGCTTGGGAAAGTTTGAGGTCCTCATCCTTTTTAAACCTACAATCCAGATAGCCAAATGACCGAAAACTAGCAAGAAGAACTCACACTCTTTGTTGCAACGTATGCGCATCACTTGCCCAACCCTTGATTTAATACAAGCTGAAAGTGCAATTTCTGCATTTGAACTCTAAAAAAGCTGCAAGAAAATGTTATTTTGCAGTCTGGTGATGAAAAGATATACTTATGTGTCCTTGCTAACACATCTAGTAAAGATTTGATAGAAAGATCACATTAACATCTTATCTCTCTAGTTTTGTTTAAAACTCAATGCACTTCAATTGGAAAAGGATCGAACTATTGGAATTCAAATCTTGACATTCTTTCTAGAGGTGATATCTTAACCACCATATGCATGCTAGAATCCCCTTGACAAATCAAAAAGCATGTTTAGTCAATCAGTTTTAGATGCCTAGAACATTGGATATCCTTCACAAATCAAAAATTACAGAACTCACAGCATGATTAGTCAAAAATTTTAGTGCCTAACCCCTAGAGCATTGGATATTTGCTTCATTTAGAGCATAATTGTGAACCAAGGGAATTTGTCAGAACCCCTCAACGCTTCTAACTTGGCTCACTGTCATTCTAATAAGAGGTTCCATGGAGTGGATAAACATGATCCTGCTCAAGGATGTTAATGAAATGCACTCATACTTTGGTCACTATCTATTTAAATTCTTTTATTCCCATATCACAATTGCTTCACTTCCATTCTATGTAACCATCTTTTTGGCAAGCACATGATTGATAAACCAAAGCCTCTCCCAATCTTAATTCATTATTGAAAATTTCTGCTACATTTCACATTTTGCCACTTTTTATTCCATGCTGACCTACATAAAAAAGAAGAAGAAAAAATTAAAAATAAAAATACAATTAAAAATCTAAAGAGGATTAAGAGCTCGATAATTGGTGTTGTGAGCTTTTCCAAGTGAGCAAATAGAATTGCCCCAAGTTGAGTGCAGTTTGGTATCTTGCATTAAGGGAATATATCCTAGAGCACTTCTACAAGGATGACTTCATGCATCATCCATATGCTTACATCTTTTTTAGTGTAAAAAGAGAAAAAAAATGTGCCTCATCCAATGCTACATAAAATTATGATGAGAGTGATTGAACCATTGCACATGATATCATTGGCCTCATAAATTTCTCATATGATAATATTGTTCCTACATAAAACATTCAAAAGTATAAAAAAAAAAATTAAGTGTCCTGAGGTAAAATTGAAAA